GGGAGGTGGCCACGACACTCTGCGGACCGAGCCGTGCAGGAACTCTCCCAGGAGCTCGGGCGCACCCGTGAGCACCTGGCTGCCGCAGAGGCGGCGCTCGGGGCTGTGGCTGGCTGCGGCGAGGCAGGTCAGCGCCTGCGGGCGCTGCTACCCGCCCTGCAGGCGAAGCTGGCTGGGCGCGCGCCGTCATGGCTCGACATCCTGCGCAGGAGCGTCACCGTGCACGCGGATGCCGACGGCATCGATGTGGCGACGGCTGACGCAGCGGTGCTGAGGCGAGCCCAGAGAGGCCCTCGCCTGGAGTCACGGCTGCATACGAATTGCGATTCGTCAGCGATGGATGGCCTCGTTAGTTTACGAGCTGGGGCCCCAGAATTTGCCCCGCAGCGGGACGCTGGGAGCCACTGCCTGCCACTGCCAGTCTGCCCTCGGGTCTCCGCTGCACGTGCGGCGCGGTGGTCTTCAGCTCCCTGGAGATCGAGACTATCGAGGACGAGGAGGTGGCCGAGGTGAAGGCCGTCTCCCACCAGCACGTTTCGAGCGGGCTGTAGGGATCCCAGGTCGTCTGGACGGGCCCGATCTTGCAGGTCATGCATCCTGTTCTGCTCGGGATTGGGTGGGCCGACCGAAGAGGTGCATTACCACATTTTTCCTCTTGGTATCATAGAGTATTCGCAGACAGAGACAGTATTTGCATCCTGCTTGCAGTCAGGCTGTCTGTGCACCTTGATGCGTCACTCTGTGAAATTGGTTGGGCGCTTGCTGTTCTGACTTGTTCTTCTTTTCTGCATGTCGTAACCATTGATGAGACATTTGCACGCCTATTGGTATATGCGTGCAGTTTCGTTTCTCTTCAGGGTGCTCTGTGTTCACAGTGTTGAATCTGTCATTTTCGTGAGCACCCCCTTCGATCATGTATTTGGTGGAGGTCGAAAGAGAGCCACATGAAAAGGAGGAGGAGGAGGAGAAGGAGGAGGAGGAGGTGGAGGAGGAGGCGAAGGTGGAAGATGAGGAGAAGGAGGAGGAGGAGGAGGATGAGGAATAGGTGGAGGAGGAGGAGGGGGAATAGGTGGAAGAGGAGGAGGAGGAGTACGATGAGGAGGCGTACTATGATGATGCTGCTGCTGCTGCTGCTGCTGATGATGATGATGATGATGATGATGATGATGATGATGATGATGATGATGATGATGATGATGATGATGATGATGATGAGAGGATGATGATGAGGAGGAGGAGGAGAGAGGAGGAGGAGGAGGAGAAGGAGGAGGAGGAGGCGGCAGGCCTGGTCACCTCGGGCCGCGTGCCCGCCGGGCTTGGAGGCGCACTGGCAAGCGCGAGGCCTGACGCTGGTCGGGGCCCCGCTTTCCGAGCAGCCGCAGCCGCGGGAGCTCTCGCGCCCAGACGAGGGGCGCCGGGCGGACATGGGCGCAGCTGACTATGCGACGGAAAGCGGAGAGGACGCCGCGACGCGGGCCGCCAGGCTGCCCTCGAAGGTGGCCGAGCTGCCGTCGCTGGCGTCACGCACCTGCCCGCTGCGCAGACGGCGGCCTTGCTCCTGCGGCATTGCAGGAGTGGCAAGCTGACCTCCATGCTGCGTACGACGCCACCCGAGCAGGCGCCGCCGGCGGCGGCGGCCTACGACGCCGCTCTCCTGGCCGCTCACTAGGAGCTCGGGCACCTGGACCCTCTGACGCCGCAACAGCAGCGCTGCCGACTCCCGCTGCGCTTGGGCGGCCGCGGCCTCCGCATTCAGGAGGAGCTGGCCCGGGCGGCCTGGGCGGCCTCCCGGGCGCAGAGCCTCGGCGCCCTGCGGGAGCGGGCCAGGCTGGCCACCCTGGGCGACTTGGATGCGAGCCCGCTGCCGCTCGCCGCCGCCTGCCGGAGCGGCCTCGCCGAGCTCGCGGCGTTCCCGCCGCCGCCGCCGCCCCGCTGGGGCGCTGACGGCCCTGACAGGCTGCCTACCTGGGCTGAGCTCGCCACCGAGCCTCGGCAGAAGCTCCAGAGGACGCTCGCAGCAAGCATGGACCAGAAAACTTACACCCCCTTGCTGAGCTCCTCGGACTTCGACGAGGACCGGGCGATGCTCCGCTCCCGCGGCGGCCCCCGCGCGGCAGGCTGGCAGACCGCTTCGCCCAGCGAGCCCCGCCAGCGGATGGAAGACGCGGCCTACCGCTCCGCGACGCGCTCCCTGCTCGGCCAGGACGCGGTCCCGCCCGGCGCCGCCCGCTCGCACTGCGCCCGCAGCGGGGAGCGGGCCGGCCGGCGCTGCGGAGGGCCGCTCTGCTGCAAGGACCACCGCGCCTTGCGGTGCCCGCGCGGTGGTGGCCTCAAGGCGCGCAGCGGCGACCTCGAATGGGCGTGGGGGCACATCCGCGCCGAGTGCGGCTGCTGGGTGGCGCGCCAGACGCCAGTGCCGGCGTGGATCGTTGGCGCTGGCGCTGCGCGGGCCGCGAGGCCGGCGGCGCGCCGGCGGCGCGGGCGGCGGCGGACGCGGCCTGTGCACGCTGCGGCGCCCAGCTGACGGCCTGGCGCGAGGAGGCCATCCTCGACCTGGAGATCTCGCGGGCTGGTTGCCCGCGAGTCTTCATGAACGTCACCGTTCGCTACGGCGTGCCCGATGCCGCCGAGGGGCGCCGAGCTGCCGCGGCACGGGGTGGCGCCGTCAACAGCAGCGCCGAGGCCGACGAGCGCGCCCGGTACTCCGCCCGCTGGGCGCGCGCCCTGGTGGTGCCGCTCGCGCTCGAGACGGGCGGGCCCAGCCGCCCTGCGGCGCCTGCGCTGGCTGGCGCGGGGCCGCGCGCAGCTGCTTGCAGGGGGCGACCCTGCCGCGGCCGCCGCGGCGGCCGGCGCTTTCGCGCGCCTCTGGGGCGCGGAGCTTGCGGTGGCCCGGCAAGCCGCGACGGTTCGCCAGCTCCAGACCGCGCTAGGCGCGGAGGCGGCCTTGTCTGGCGAGCGCGCGGCCCTGGCTGCCGCGCTTGCCGACTGAGCCGGCGCGACTGCGCAGACCTGGAGGGCGGCTGCCGGATCGACGTGTCGCTGGCGAAGCTCAGTGCGTGCGCAAACGCGGGCGCCAGCACGGGCCGGGCGTCGGCGTTCGCAGGAGGGGGATGATGATGCTGATGATGATGATGGTGATGATGATGATGATGATGATGCTGCTGCTGATGATGATGATGATGATGATGATGATGATGATGATGATGGTGATGATGATGATGATGATGGTGATGATGATAGTGACGATGATGATGATGACGATGATGATGAGGACGATGATGATGATGATTCTGATGATGATGATGGTGATGATGATGAGGAGGAGGAGGAGGAGGAGATGGAGGAGGAGGAGGAGGAGCAGGAGGAGAAGGAACAGGAGGAGGAGGAGGAGGAGGAAGAGGAGGAAAAGGAGGAGGAGGAGGAGGAGGAGGAAGAGGAGGAGGAATCATATTATTAATAATGATAATAAGAAGAAGCATAATACTAATAAGAAGATGAAGAATAATAGTACGAATAGTAGTAATACAAGGAATGATAATAATAAGACTAATAATAAGAATAATACTAATAGTAAGAAGAAGACGAACAACAATAATAATAGTAAGAAGAAGACTTATACCCATAACAAGAAGAAGAACAATAAGAGCACTAATAATACTAATAAGAAGAATAATAACAATACTAATATTAGTAATAGTAATAATAATCGTAAGAATAAGACGAATACTAATACTAAAAATGGTGATGACAATAATAATAATCATACTACTACTACTACTACTACTACTACTACTATTTATAATAATAATAGAAATACTCATACTACTACTAGTAATAATACTAATGATAATAATAATAAGAATAATAATCATAATATTAATAGTGATCATAATCATAATAATAGTATTAATATTACTAATAATACTACTAATAATAATATTCATAATAATAGTAATACTACTACTACTATTAATATTAATCATCATAGTAATACACATACAAATAATACTACTAATACTACTAACAATCATATTAATAGTAATAATACAAATAATAATAGTAATAATGATACTACTAATAATAATACTCATAATAATATTAATACTAATACTAATATTCAGAGTAATAAGAATACTAAGAATACTACTACTACTACTAATACTAATACGAAGAATAAGAAGAAGAATAATAATACGAAGAAGAATAATACTAAGAAGAAGAATCGGAATTTTAATAATCATAATAATATTAATAATAATAATATTCATAATATTAATAATAACAATAATGCTAATAATAATAATACTAATAATAATACTAATAATAACAATAATAATAATAATGATAATAATAATAATACTAATAATAGTAATACTAATAAGAAGAAGAAGAAGAGGAGGAGGATGAGGGAGGAGGAGGAGGAGGAGGGGGCAGGAGGATGCGGAGGAGGAGGGGAGGAAGTGAGGAGGAGGAGGAGGAACAGGAGCAGGAGGGAGGAGGAGGGAGGAGGAGGAGGAGGATGAAGGAGGAGGAGGAAGAGGAGGGAGGAGGAGGAGGACGAGGAGGAGGAGGAAGGAGGAGAGGAGGAGGAGGAGGAGGAGGCGGAGGCGGAGGCGGAGGAGGAGGAGGAGAGGAGGAGGAGGAGTAGGTTGAGTTGGACGAGGAGGTGGCGGAGGAGGAGGAGGAGGAAAACGAGGAGGAGGGCGAGGAGGAGGTTGAGGAACTCTGTCTGGCACTGCGTGGTTCTTCGATGGCGGGCGAGGCCGTCTCTGGGGTTTGCCCGTCGAGGTTTTGCTTCCTTTGCCGTGCTTGGTCCTCCGGGGGCGGCGCGCGGCGGCTGCGTTCCGACGACTTCGCCGCGGCGCTGCGCGCGCGGCTGCCGGGCCGATCCAAAGCGAGGAGGGGGGCGATGATGGGTGGAATGGAAGAAAGGCGGGGACGCGGAGGGAAGAAAGTTGAGCATCATGAGAAGCAGCACGAAAAAGATCCGTTCTGCCCAGGAGGTCATCGACACAGCTCTTGGAATATTGGGCCAGCTTGCCGATTCGGTCACGGATAACGTCTCAACCAGCCTTCTGCAGGGGTACAAGAAGCGCTACGCGAGCATGTACCAAAGGAAGCTGTTCCCCCTTTTTTCCCGCTCCGTCCTCCTCAGGCTACTCCCTTCTCCGGGGGTGGGGAAGAACTTTATGTGGGAGGATCCGGAGAAGCCAGGAGGAGCACGAGGAACAGGCAAGGAAGGCATTCCCCTTTTGCTCTCCGTGCTGCTCCTGCGCAAACATCCCCCCTTTACGCTTGAGCCTCCGTCTCCTCCTCCGCCTGCTCCTCGTCCTCCTCGCCCCCTTCCTCGCTCTCCTCTCTTCCTGCCTTCTATCCCGCGGCCTCCCTCCCGCTCCTGCCCGCCCTTTTCACTCGTTCTCCCTCCTCCCCGCGTGTCCCTCTTCTTGGTGCTCGTGGTGTAACGCAGCGGAGGTGCGGGACGGAAGGGGTGGCAGGGGGTGGGGACTGGCAAGGAGGGGGGGGGGACATGGGGTAGGGTAAGGAGGGGGGAAAGGAGAAAGCAGGGCGGCACGGCTGGCACTTCGGGGCTCTTCCCTCCCTTCTTCTTTTCGCGCGCCATCCCTGTTCACGTTTCTGGCGTTGCCATTCGCCTTGCCAGACAGCCGACAGCGGCGGCCCACGGCACACCGTCAGCGCCCCAAGGGTCACGGGCGCCCCGACCGGGCGAGCAGGACGCGCTACCGTTCGGGTCGCCACGGCCGTCTTGTCGTCCTGTAGGCAGGTCGGTGGTCTTCAGGAATCGTGTTAGCCGTTCGGCCGCGGGCCCCCCCCTCCTCCTCCTCCTCCTCCTCCTCCTCCTCCTCCTCCTCCTCCTCCTCCTCCTCCTCCTCCTCCTCCTCCTCTTTTCCTCCTCCCATCCCTCCTCCT